GCTGAATCTCCATGTTGGGCCACAGGACTGTAAGGACAGGGCTGCTCATCTCAGGAGCAGAATGGAGCCAGCTATTGGAAACATAATTAGTTCTCAAAATCTACTCAAACTTTTGACAACATGAAACCCTGCTCTTACCAGATCTTTTCTGAATTGAGTACTGAAGCTATAAATGGTATAATTTTTGCTTGATCATACTTCAACTTAGTCATCAACAAGTTGCATTCACACCCGTGCCCCTCTCCTAGAGCATCAGAGCCAGCTGGGTAGGAAAAGGCTGTACTGCAGAGTTACACAAGTGATAGTGTCAGATGGGAAAAGCCTTTATTCTTCTCAGTGAAACAATATGGCACCATAAAGCACCTTCTTTGCAAAGCCTTTAATGAGAACTTCAGTGCTAGCTGTACTGTATTTGTGTGTAAGACTTGTTAAATTGTCATAGTACTTGCTGTCAAATGTTTAGTTCTGACTGGAATCTGTTTGGCTGTGAACCTTTCAGGGTAGAAGAGCACCCTTCTGCTTCAGTGTCTTGAGAATAATTGAGCCTTGAGAGCTTCTTTTGATAATACTTCATCCTCTTCTGGGAGAAACTGTAGGAAACGCCAGCCAGTTTTGGTACAAATTACATGTGTAGGAACTTCACAGAATCAGTCTCTTAAATGGGTGGAGGTAGCTGTGGAGAGTTGAGAAGTTTGAGATTAGGCTGTTTGGAAGTAGTGTTCGGGGTCAGATTACTACAGAATCTGGGCTTGTATTTTCTGGAGGTTCACAGTAAGTTTGCTAAATTACATTTTAGGTTGATTGAAACTGCTTCTGAATTCATGCTGCATTTGATGATCAGTCTACATAGATAGAAACAGGAAAGAGGAGGATTAAAAAGTGATGAAAAGTTTTTATACCTTCGAAGTGAAGTTTTTGAACTTTAATTTTTGAATTTTATTTCAAGATTGAAACAGAGCCAAACAATTTTTGATTCAACCCCTTCATTGTTTATACGTTTCTGTTTCAAGGAAAATACTGGAGAAAAAAAACTTAATTTTGAATTAACTGAAATGATTTATTTATCAGTAGTGTTCTCCTTTGGGTCCTGCGTGTGAGACTGCCGTGACACTAGATTGGGTTGGTCACGTTTTCTTTGCTACTGCCTCATCCATGAGAGCTGATAAGATGAGGTCCTAACAAGAGCTGCTGATGGTAGCAATGTAGGACTTCCAGTCATTCGCTTCTGTCACCGCAGCCTGGGGCTGTAGGAGTATGAAAGAACTGGCCCCTGAGGGACCCTCCTAGCAGCTGCATTTCTACACAGGCTGTGTCACTTGATGAAGCAAGACATTGCAAATGTCTCTGTGCATCAGCACATCCTAAAAAGGGCTGAGTAGTGTGCTGGCTTCACCTCCACACTTTGGGTGGCTGTACAAAAAAATCCTGTTGAAAAATTCCTGGGGGAAGGAAGGAAGGAGAGATGCAAGTGTGTGTCAGAGCGAGAGAGCAAGAATGAGCCTTTTGGGTAGAAGAAAGTAATGAAGCTCTCTGATCACTTTCCTTGCAAATGACTAGCTCATGTAGACACTAGGTCCTTGCCTGTTTCCCTTTAGGGGCTTTATCACCATCCAGCACCATAATCTCCTTAATTTCTACTGCTTAAGTTTTGGGAAAAATAAGACTGTTGTGTATCCAAGACAAAATTCTCCTGAAAAATGGCTTTGTACAGTAAACGAGCAAGGCAGCCTCACACTGAGGAGAGGCTGTTCACCAAAGATGACAGCTGTTCCCATGACAACACTAAAAACCTTGCACCATTGGGTGAAAGGAGAACGTCTCCCATGGCAAGGACATGAACCCAGGAGCTTAGTCCTCATCTTCCATAAATCATCCTGTTGGGCACTGATAAAAAGGAACTGCCCATTGTGCACATGCAGCTCCACCTTCTAGGCGCCAGCCTGGCTCCAGAGGAAAGGAAGAGCAAACAAATCCAAAGCATCAGTGAGTTGGATTTATGTAAAAGGAAAATTAAGTTCGACTGATGTTCTGCATATCCCTCTGCTCTCCAGCTGATGATCACAATTTTTTTATGATTAAAAGCCAAGCAAAATTTCCAGGCTGTTTTACAAACTGCTGAAGAAGCCACGTATGTGATTTTCTCTGTTGTAGAGAAATCTTTCATCATCCTGGAATGGAGAGAGAGGGAGGCCCTGAGAGAATTCTGCTTTTCTTCATCCAGCCTGTGATTCAACAGTTATCTTCTGTGTTTGAAACAGAAAGTAGCAAAAGACCATTTTTTACCGTGGCATCTTCATTTGGCCTGCCAGCTCTCTGAGTGCCATGGTGTGTGGGACTGCAGTTGTCTGAAGGTATCAGGATCTGCTTCCTTTCTTAAGGAAAAAGCCCTTGTGCATCTGGAAAAAAAAGAGATAACGTATGCCCAGAAAGCTCAGGAACCAAAGGTAAAGAAGAACAACAACAGCAAAAAAAATTATTTTCTTGTTAATCTAAGGACAAACTTTTTTTCTTTTGCTTAGTGGGCAGAGGAGTTGAGCACGTTCTGCTTGAATGGTAGGAGCTGGCAATCCTTTTCCATAAATGAGACTATTCTGTCATCTTGAGCTTTTCAAACTCTTTTTTTTTTTTTTATTTTTCGTTTTGAGTATTTTGAATCTTTAAATATAAGATCACAGACTAATTTTTTTTTCTTTTTTTCTTTATTTTTTTGTGAGGAAATTTGTTTTTTTTTTTTACTCTTTTCCAGTTATAACATTAGTTGCTTGGTTGTGATACTGCACGTGGAGGAGCAGAGGTGAAAACAGAAAGTCCTAACCAGCAGAGATTATTCTGTTCTCTAAGTATGTCTTCTGCAGCTTCAAACTACAAACCAAAGTATTAGCACGATTTATTTATTTTTTTTCAAATTCTGGTTTTCCAATTCTGAAGCTGGATGAAATAAATGTTCTGTGGAGTCTGCAAATCACCACCTCTTGATATCCTCAGGGGTATGCAGGGTGTCCAGGCTGCTGGTCTGTGGTACTCTGCTGCTCTCGTCCTGTGACACGTGAACAGCTCGCTGTGACACTTGTGGGACCTAGACATGTGCTCAGGCAGGATGTGCTTGAGAACATCTGAAATTGATATTGGAAATGGACAAACTGCACCATGGTTCCACCTTTGTCCATGTATGCTGATAAATTTCACAATATTACTCTTTTTTTAATGAGTTTGGGCACAGTGTGTGACCCAATGCTGCCCTGTGGCCACGAGTCCCACACCTGGACCCATGCTGGAAAGGAGGTGCAAGGTTTCTTTTTATTACCATTCCTTAATCCCCAGGATCGAAGAGCTGATGCTGTGCTGAGACCTGTTTAGAGGTCACATCACTCTGTTTCTGTACACATTGTGCTTTTGATGTTACTTGCTGTGCTCAGGGCTTGTTTTACTTGAGCTCTGTTGTGGCCTTTCCATGCTACTAATTGTGTGCTCTTGAATTACTGGAAGTGTTGTAGGGTGGTGCCAAGCACGAGTGGGCTTTCACCTTCCTCCACTTTCATAACAGTCCTCAGACCAATTAACCAATACTTGGTTTGTTCCTTGCACCACATTTCAGCCGTTCACAGGTGAACAGAAGCTTTCTGACAAATGGGAGTTGCTCAGCTCGTTCTGCTGGTGGTGAAAGCTGCTGCTCTGCCTTGCCTAGTGCTGCTCTGTGAACGCTCAGAGCTCCTGTTTGAGAGCACAAAGTGCAACTGGACATCTTCCCCCTCCCAGTGCAAGTGTGTCTGTGCCCGTGGTGGGC